GGGTGCCCTCTCTTCCCCGCGTCCAGCAGGCAGTGCTCCCTCCACAGGGCACAGATGCAGCCCGGCCCCAGCGGCCCGCCCACGGGGCCCACTCGGAGGGCAGGCGGGGAGGGGGCCCAGCGAGCTTCTGCAGAAGCATGAATAGAACTTGAACGCGCCTTTGGCTAACTCTTCTCCTAATAGCAGTAATTCACAGTCGGGTAACATGCCATTAAGATCTCGAAATTCTCCACAGAAACAATCTTCCTGCTTTCACCTCGTTCTTGCCTTCTGTGTGTGTGCACTGTTTACAAAGCCTGCTTATTATGGGGTGGCAGAGTTGGGGTGTGCAGCGAGCCGGCATCTCCCCCGGGGGCACAGCTATGTGGGTTCAGACTGTGTTTTTAATTGGCCTTTTCATTATCAAGGGTGATGTCGGAGCACTGAGGGCCCCTCAGCCCCGCAAGCTGCCCCCCGCCGATTTGGGCCTCCCTGCAATGCTCTGCACAAATGCAGAATCTCTGTACCGAAAGGGTTTTATGCTGAAAAGTGTGCCCTTTGGAGCAGTATTTTGTTTGCATTTTGTATTCATGCCATTGTCCCCAAACTTCCTGACTTCTCAAAATTCCAAGGGGAGGGCATTTTGCAAAGCACATGGGGTCGCCCTCGGGAAAGCGTGGTTTCCCAGCAGCCTTTGGTCCCCAGGGCCCTTAGAGCCTGGGGTCTGCGGTGCTGGCCGCATGCTGTGCCGTGCCGGGTGGAGGCTGCCCCGGCTGTGCCTCCCCTAGGGCCGAGCCATCTGAGCCCAAGGGGTTCTCTCTGCAGGGTCAGTGGCACAGCGACGTCTTCAGTGGACTGGGCAGCCTAGCCCACTGCTCTGGGGTCGTCTACCGAGGGATGTGGGTCAACGGCCACCCCATGGGTAAGTGCCCCCCGCTTCCCGGTGCCCTGACCGGGTCCTCGTGTGGGGTCCCGTCTGGGTCTGGCCGAGTCCTCTCCCAGATGGCCTGGGCGGTCTCGCAGGAGGTGTGGACTGGAGATACTAAGGGGCTGGGACGAAGTGGAATCTAAAATCCTCTTTGGGAAACGGCGTGCTCTGATAGGGTGTCACAGGGCTCGCAACGTGCAGAGGCCCGAGTCAGACCTCGGACCCGAGGGGTCCTGCCTCATGCCGGCCTCCCAGCCTCGGGTCTCGCTCTCCCGGGCTCTGGGCGTCTGGCCTCCCCCACAGCCTCCATCCAGTCCCTGTCCTGAGCACTCTGCGCCTTGGCATGACCAAAGGCGGCCTCTGGCCTGGGGGGTCCTCTGCTGGGGGGCAACCTCCCCTCCCTCTGTTGCCCCCTGGGCACGAGGGGGCCTTCTCTTAGACTCCAGGAGGAGGGTGCTGCCCCAGGGGTCAGTCTGGCCGCGGACATGGGTCGCTGGTCAGAGCCTTGGTGCCAGGTCCACAGGTGCAGCTGCTGGATCAGGGCTGACGGACCAGGCTCCTGGGGGCCCGGGTCTGAGCACCACCCCCGTGCCTCGGGACCCCTTTGCTGGGAGAGGCAGCAGGTCCACAGTAGCAACCACCTCCACCTGCTGGGCCAGGCAGGCCTCCTCCCTGGGGAGAGGTGGAGCTATGCCGAGGATGCCCCCACAGTTCCTCGTGGAGCAGGGGTGGCCCTGACCCGGGGGGCCCCCCACATACCCCAGGCTGGCTCCTGGGTGAACAGCCACAGCTCCTCACCCAGGACACATCAGGTCAGGGACTCGGACACGGTAGGCAGGGCCTGAGTCTGAGCAGCGGGCGGGAGGACGAGCTGGCTCATCTTCCCACCATGACCCATCAACGCTTTAAATAATCGTAGCTGACCCTAGGGCCAGGTCAAGCCCACCCCGAAAGCCGTGTTATCTGTGTTGGAGCCCGCGGAACACCTGAGAGGGCCAGCCCCGCGGCTCTCCCGGGGGTGGGGGGGGCGAGCAGGCGGCCAGCCCCGCCCCCGCGGCAGGTGCACTCCGTTCTCTCCCAGCGCAAGCCACGAGGATGGTGATTCTGGGTCCGGAGGTGTTGGACGTGGCCCAGGGAGCTTCTCTCACTTTGACGGTCCAGCTGCAGCAGGCGGACGGGGAGGTGGCCAAGGGTAAGTGTTTGCAGGAAGACACCCAGCTTTTCCAAGAGACAGGCAGGCAGGTGTCAGGTTCTTAAGCAGTGAAAGTGCAAACAAGATGCACAGGTGGCCTCGCAGCCCGGCTGCGCCGAAGTAACCCTGTGGGGCGTCCTTGTCGCCAGAGTCTCAGCTGAAGGGCAGCAGGCGTGCAAGCCCTGGGCTGACAGGAGCGTGTGGGCTGTGTGGGCACATGCGTGTGTGTGTGTGCAGGTCACGCAAAAAAAAAAGAGTCCAGAAGGAGGCGGTGCCTGGACGTAACCAGGCAAGGGGGGGGCTTCTCGCTGTCTTCCGGGGGGAATCGAGGAGGGACAGATTCCCACGTGTCGGGGCTGCTCCTGATCAGCCCTGCAGCCAAGCAGAGGACCGACAGCACTTAACACCGGAGAGTGGAGAACAGAGCACCTGGGCGGGGGCAGGCGGGGTGCCCGTGGCTGAGCGCTCGTCCTTGGTTCCAAACATGGAGCAGCTCAGACTCGGGAGCCCCGAAGGAAGCATGTATCAAACGTGTTCAGTCACAATTGCTCTAGTTTACCAGCTTCATTGCAGTGTCGTTTATATGCCCTGGAACCCATCTGTATGAAGCGATCCAATGATGGTCAGTGAGTTTGGGGAACCAGGTGACCGTCGCCACGCCAGTCTGGTGTCAGGGCACTTCCTCCCCGCCAAAAGAGCCCTGGTTCCTGCCTCCAGCCATGCGCCTGCCCCACGCCGGGCACCACGAGTGTGCTGCTCTGCGTGTGGATGGAGTCTCCCCCTGTGGGGTCACGCTCGGCCCCTCGCTCCCGTGTCAGTGCCCCTGTCCCCTTTCTGGACCAGCCGCCTCTCCTCCTCTCCGCCCGGCACCCGTCCACCCGCGTCTGTGGATGACATTCGGGTCCTTGGCACTTCTTGGCCACTGTGAACAGTGCTGCTGTGAAGGTCCGCGGGCAGGTGTTTGTGTACATGCATTTTGGTTTCTCTTGGGTTTATACTTACGAGTGGAATTGCTGGATCATATAGTAGTTGTGTGTTTAAATTTTTCAAGAAACAGGTGAACTGTCTTCCAAAGTGGCTGCACCGTTTTACCACCCCATTAGCCACATGGGACGAGGATTTCTCCTCGTCCTCATCAAGGACTCGGCACCCTGAGGCCATCCAGTGACCTCTCCGTCTGGGTTTGACTCGCATTTCCCTGAAACTGCTGGCGTTGAGCAGCTTTCCGAGTGCTTGTTGGCCACTTGTATGTCTTCTGCTGAGAAATGTCTATTCATGCATTCCAGCCGTTTTTTAAATGGGGTTGTTTGTCTTAGTTTTTAGTTGCACAAGCTCTTATGTATTCTGGATACAAGTCCTTCATCAGATACACCTTTGCAAATACTTTCTTTCAGTCTGTGGCTTATCTTTTCATCTCCTTAATGTTGTCTTTTGAAGTGCAAACTTGTACAATTTTGATAAAGTCCAGCTTGTCCATTTTTTCTTTCACAGGCCGTCATCTTGGTGACGTATCTAAGGATTCTCAGCCCAAGTTCACAGAGACTTTCTCCTCTTTTCTTCTACAGCTTTTGCTCTTCGTCTAGGTCTGTGATCGTTTTGAGTTAATTTTTGAGGATAAGACAGAGGTCTAAATTCATCTTTTTCTGTGTGGATTCCAGTTGTCCCAGTGCCATGTGTCCCATTCCTACGTTTGCCCCACTGATTGCCTGGGCACCGTGGTGGAGAGGCACTTGACCACGAGGGTGAGGGTTTCCGGCTGGACTCTCAGTTCTGTTCCATTGATCTACGTGTCTCTCTGACACCATGGCCACACCGACTTGATCATTGTAGCCTGGAATTGGCGATTTCTCCAGTTTTGGTTCTTTTGCAGAATTGTTTTGGCCATTCTGGGACCCTTGTATTTCCATGTAAATATTTTAGGGTCGGCTTGTCAATTTCTGCCACTAAATCAAGCAAGCCGGCTGGGATTTTGTCGGAGGTGCACCGACTCTAGCCAGGAGACCTGCCGCTAACGGTCCTGAGTCTTCCAACTCAAGAAGGCGAAACACCCCCCATCTCGGTCCGCCTTTGCTTTCATCGGGGTTTGTGCTTTTCAGTGTGCAAGTCTTGCACTTCTTTTGTGAGATGTGCTAATAAATGATGAATAACTTGTTACTGGTTGTTTAATTATGGTTTGTTTATTCAGAAATTAATTCATTCTGTACTTTGTGCTATTGTGTATGGAATTATTACCTTCGTTTCAGAAGCCGCCAGACCACAGTTGATTTTTATGTATTGGTCGTATATCCCCTGACCTGGTGAGACACGCTGTCCTGCAGTTTTTCTGAGGACCTAAGGTTTTCTAGATACAGATCATGTCTACGAGGAAATGCAATTTTAGTTCTTCCTTTGCAGCCTGGGTGTGTTTTCTTTCCACTTGTTCTGCACTGGTTTACATTCCCCCAGCAAGACTGCGGGTCCCAGCTCCACGTCCTCACCACTTGCCACCCCGCCCGTCGTCGCAGGCGTCCTGTGGGTGTGAGGCGGTGTCTCACTGTGGTCCTGCTTGCGTTTGCCTGATGAGTAAAGACGTGGAGCACGTTTTCGTGCACTGATTGGCCGTCTGTGCATCTTCTTTGGAGAAACATCTATTCGGATCCTCTGCGCATCAAAACATCGGGGCAACTTGTCTTTTTACTGTGGGTCGTTGAGAGCTCTTTACATACTCTGGATGCAAGTCTTTTATCAGATATCTGGCTGGCAAATATTCTTTTCCCATCTTGTGGGCTGTCTTGCACTTTCTTAATGGTGTCTTTTGAACACAGAAGTTTAACTTTTGATGGCGTCCGGTTGCTCTGCCGTCTCCTTCCGTCGCTAGTGCCTTCTGGAACCGCATCTAGGAAGACTCTCTCGCCCACAGGCATGGAGGTTTAGCCCCACGCTTCCTCCTCAGCGTTTGCGTGTTTAGCTCTTACATTTAAGTCTGGGGTCTATTTGGCGTTGATCTTTGTACGTGGGGTGAGACGGGGGTCCGGCTGGCTTCTTTCACACGTGGACACCCAGCAGTCCCGGTGTCATCTGCTAAAAGACTGTTTTCCTCCATGAATTACCTGGACATCCCATCTGCTAAAATTTTGTTCAGCGTTTTGCCTGTCTCTTCATCAGGGTATCGCTCTCCTTTCTTCTTACGACGTCTCTGTCTGGGTTTGGGGCTGGGGTGACGCTGCCCTCAGCTAAGCTGAGAAACTCCCTCCCCTTCAATTTTCTGAAAGCGTTTGTGTTGAATTGGTATCTCTCCTTCTTAAACGTCTGGTAGGGTTCGGTATGAAGCCCATCTGGGCCTGGAGTCTTCTTCGTGGGAAGGTGTTTGAGTGTGGTTCCACTTCCCTGGTGGGCGCGGGACCGCCCCGCTCAGCCGTCTCTTCCCGAGGGCGCTGCGCTGGCGCGTACCAGGCTGTCGGCTTCCTTGGTGTCGCCTGTTCGCCGTGTTTCCGGGCTCCCCCTTCGATGACCTGCTGCCACCTCTCTTGTTTCTCGTGCAGATGATCGCTGTCTGCTTTCTTTTTTGCTGACGAGTCTGACTTGAGAGGTTATCCGTTTTACCGATAAACAACCAAAGTTTTGGTTTAATTGGCTTCTGTATTGTTGTCTCTTTTCTATTTCACTAATTCCTGTTTTAATCTTATTATTTCCTTGCTTCTGCTTAGTTTGGGTTTCATTTGCTCTCCTCTTTGTAGTTTCTTCAGGGGGAAAGCGTCTATGGCTATCTGAGACCTTCCTTTTCTAGCACCGAAGCTCATTGCTCGCAGCGTCCCCGTCGGCGCCCCTCTGGCTGTGCCCGCAGACCTCGACGTGCTGTGCGCTCATCTTCGTTCAGCCCCAAGTGCTTTCTGATCTGCCTTCTGATCTCCTCTGGACTCGCACGTTATTTCACAGGGTGTCGTTGCATTGCCGGTGTCTGGGGGTTTTCCAGAGATCTTCCTTCCTCACTGATTCCAATTTAATTCTATGTGGTTATTAGAGCCATACTTTGAATTCCTTTAAATTTATTGAGACTTGTTTTATGGCTCCGAATGCAGTCTATTTTGGTAACGTTCTGTGTGCATTTTGGGAAGAGCATGAAGTCCGCTTTTGTCGGGCAGAACAGTCCACCAGTGTCAGACCTGATGGATTGTGTTGCCGTGGCTGGCAGGTTTGCTGCATCCTTGCTGGTCTTCTAGCCGCTTGTTGCATGAGTTATCGACTGTGGTGCATCGAAATCTATGATTACTCTTGTGTTTTTGTCTATTTCTGCTTTCATTGCTGCCACTTTTAGCTTTGTGTGTTTTGAAGCTCAATTACTAGGGGCGTACACATTTAGGATTTTCATGTCATTTAATTAATTGACTCCTCATCACTGTGAAGTGACGTTCTTTATCTCTGGAAACAGCCTCTGCTCCGACAGCTGCTTTCGGTGATGGTAAGATCATGACTAGCTTTCCTTTGACGAGTATCAGCATTTTTATCCATCCTTTTACCTTTAACCTATTTGTGTCTTTATAGTGTAAGTGGGTTTTTGTGGGCTGCATGTGGTTGGGTCTTGCTTTTTTATCCCATGTAAACATCTCTCTTTTAACTCAAGTGTCTGCGCTGTTCACATTTAACATAATTATTGATACAGCAGGTTTGAACCTGCCACTTTCCGGTTTCTTCTCTATTTTCCCAGCTGCTTTTTCCCCCTTTATGCTCCACTCCTATCTTTTTTGGATTCGCTGAGTATTTTTTAGATTCCATTTTCTCTCCTCTGCTGGTTTATCAATGGTAGCTCTTTGCTGTGTCCTCTTAGGGGCTCCTTCGAGGTTTACACCGTGCGTCGGTCACCTGGCACAGCCCGCTCTCCCGTGACACCATCCGGCTTGACACGTACGGGCTTCACAGTGTACGCTCCGCTCCAACCCCAATCCTCATGCGATTGTTTCAGTACATTTTACAGTCACGTAACTCAAAAGCTTGCAACGCATCGTTATTGTTTTTGTTTGTACAGTCACGTATCTTCTAAAGAGTGAGAAAACAGGAAGGGAAGTCTCACCTGTGTTTCCCCATCACAGCTGCCACCTCGGGCCCGCTCCTTCCCGCAGGCGCAAACTTCCAGCTGCTCCCATTTCCCTTCTGCCTGAGGGGCGTGACTGTCACACGTGCTTGCTGGCGATGAATCCTTTCAGCTTTCCTACGTCTTGACTTTGCGCTGCTGTCTGATGGATGCTGTGACCACACACGGGGTCCTGGCTCCTCTTCCCGGGCTTCCTGGCGCCGCCTGGTCTGCGCTGTTTTCTGTGGGAAACCTGCCCCACCCGCGCCTCAGGTCTCAGTGCAGACGTCCTTCGTCTCTGGCTTCTCTTCAGGTTTCTTTTTATCGCTGGTTTGAGCAATTTGACTGCGGTGCGACGAGGGGTAGCTGTCTCCATGTTTCTTGCACTTGGGTCCATTGAGCTTCTTGGGTCTCTGGGTTTATAGTTTTCATCAAACTTGGCATATTTCAGCCCTATTTCTTCTGATAATTTTCTGTCACAGCCTTTGCCCGCCGCCCCGAGACCCCGATTATCCACGTGTCAGACGGCTCCAGGTTGCCCCACTGGAGAATCCCCAGGTTCATGGATTCTCCTTCCCGCCCTCCCTTTTTTTCCCCCCTTTTTTCTCACAGGGTGTCATTCTGGATATTTTCTGTAGCTACATTTTCAAGCTCATGAATCTTTTTTTTTTTGCAATATCTAATCTGCCATTGATCACATCCATGTTTTTCATTTCATAGTTTTCATCTGTAGAGTCAACGTTCTTTTTTGTATCTTCTATGTCTCTACTTAACTTTTGAACACATGGAATACAACTACGATAATAACTTAGAGGGGAGGAGGGTACAGCTCAGTGGTGGAGCACATGCTTAGCTTGCACCAGGTCCTGGCTTCAATCCCCAGCACCTCTATTTAAAAAAATAATAATAATAAATAAATAGACCCAATAACTTCTCTCCCTCTGAAAAAATTAAAAGAATAAATAAATAATTTTTTTAAATTTGAAAAATATCCTTTTCTGCGAATTCTAACATCTGGGTCAGTTTGAGTTGACGGCGGCTCCCCCTTGTTACGGCTGCACTTCCCTGCGTTCTCTGCGAGCCTGGTGGTCTTGTATTGGATGCTGGACATTGTGAATGTCAACTTGTTGGGGGCCAGAGGCGTCTCTGCTCCTATCAACGTTTTGGAGCTTTGTTCTGGGTGCAGTTCAGTCACCTGGAGACAGTGTAATCCTCTCAGGTCTTGGCTTCAGGGTTTCTTTGTGCTGGAGTAGGGCTCAGCCTAAGAACAGTCACTGCCCAGTACTGAGAGCTCTTCTGAGTCTTGCGGCCTCTCCAAGAACCGGCGCCGACCCCCTCCTGTGGGGCCTCAGGCCCTGCCCCACTCCCATCCTCTCAGGTGGATTTCCACAACCCCCCGGCCTGATCTGCCCTGCGCTGATCTGTGCTCTGCTGTACCCCCGGCGTTCCCACAAAACGGCTGGGCCCCCCTCCCGTCTGCTCCTCTCCCGTGTGAGCCTGTCTCTTCATTCACCCAGAAGCTTTCTGGGCCTGCGCAGCTGCCCACCCACACCAGTCCTGCGCAGTCTCTCAGGGCAGTGACCTGGGTGGCTGTGGAGTCCACGTTGTGTGTTGCCCGACTTCCAGGGACCACTGTCCTGGTCTGATGTCCAGGGTCTTGAAAACATCATCTTATATCTCGTCTGCTCCTTTGGTTACTTCAGGTAGGAGGGTCAGTGGGTCCCAGTTACTCTGTCTTGACCAGAAAGCGAGGCCAGTCAGCCCACTGGTGGTCTTTATGCCCCACCCGGTTCCTCTTCTCTCCAAGTCCACATACTCCCGGGTTTGCCCTGCGCGTCTCAGCAGATCTCAGCAGCCCGGGCTGGACAGGCAGGGCCCTTACTGGCACTGGTCCATGCTCGGTGTTGGCTCTGAACCCCTGAGTCCAGACGGCCAGGCCTGTGCTCGGTGCCTTGCGGATGTGGGCCAGAGGTTGGGCCCTCCCCCGGGTCACGGTGGGAGGTGGGTGACCAGCACCACAGAGCTAGCCTCGCTGCGGGTGCTCACTGCAGCCCCCCGCAGCCTGAGTAGGGAGGCCCTGAGGCCAGCCAGCAAGGACAGTCCGTCCTGGAGAGACCTCCCAGAACTGGACTGAGTCAGAACTCCCATCAAGGGGTGGAGGTGTCCCGGGGAGTGTAGAAGGCTCAGCCCAGGGCCGGGGCCGGGAGGAGCAGAGGGACCCGGACATAAGCAGAGCGCTCAGGGCATTGCGGTCGCGGCGGGGCCAGCACCTGGCTCCTCCTGGGGCTCTGTGGCCCAGCGGGACGGGATGAGACCTGGGCCCTGAGGCCCCGCCCCACCCCGCCCCTTGCACACACGCCCTCCCTCCTTCTGAAGGCGAGGACGGCAGGGTTTTGAAGGTCTCAGCGGGTGTCAGGCGTGTGCAGCTCCCAGCATACTCGGAGGTCATCTTCTTCAAAGTGGACGAAGGTGGCAGAGAGACACCCATCCAGACCCCATTGTGAGTATGGGGGACCCTGGGTGACCCCCTTGCAGGGCAGGGAGGGGTTCCTCCTCGACTCTGAGCCCCTCCCACACCCTCCAGGACGCTGTGAGCACTGGGGACACGCACACTGTCTGGTGGGGGGAAGGGGAGGCACCTTCAGACAGTGGGGGCCAGACAGGGGTACAGGGGGGCAGGGAGGGGGTCTGGGCAGGGGGGACAGGGAGGCAGGGAGGACAGGGCTTCAGGGAGAGTCCCTCCCCTGCCCCTTCCTTCTCACTTCCCTGGTCTCAGTGTGGCCACCTTGGCCCTTCCTCCTCCCTGGACCTGCCCCAGGGCCCCCTTGTTCCCTGCAGCCAGGTGTCACCCCTAGCTTGGCGTCAGGCAGAGCCCAGCCCTGTCCTTCCCTCCGCAGCGGGTTCCAGTGTCTCTCCTTCCCTCTGTCCAGCCCCCAGTCCGGGGGCCTGGAGCCCAGAGCTGCCCTAGGAAGTGCCGATGCCGACTCGCCTCCCGCTGAGGCAGACCCCATGCGCCGGGCCGGTGAGTGCTGTCAACCAAGGGTCTGCGGTGGGCAGCATGAGCTTGAGTGTTCAGGGTGACAGCGGTGGCCCCAAAGCCGGACAGGAGGAAACAAAGTTGAGCCCTGAGATGAGTGGACCTGGGAGACACAGGCCATCCTGGGAAAGCGGTGCCCAGGCCCCAGCAGACCTCGGCCGGACAACAAGTGGGACTGCTTCCGAAGGGCTATCGCCGTGGCAGGGGGTTAAACGGCAGGCTGGGGGCTGCTGACCTGGCATCCAGGCTGCTGCCCGTGCTCACCATGCAGACCCAGGGCCCTCGTGGGGTTGGGGTCAGCGGTCCTGAGTCTGCCGCGGCGCTGTCCTGTGCTCTCCACACTCACCTCCCCTTGTCACCGTGACCACAGAGTGAAGTCCTCCTGTTTGTTCACCTGGCCGATGATCTGAGGGCTGTTTCTGCTCAGGGCTAGCCCTGGAGGATGGCAACCCCACCAAGGCCGCTGCCCTGGGAGGCCTGTGGTCAGCCTGGACAGGACTCTGGGCCCCAGGCTGTCTGTAGGGACCTTGTGGGCCTGACAGTCACGCGCGTTCACCTCATTTCCGGCTGATTCCACTCTGACTGGAGCGCACGGCATCGCCACATGCGCCGGCCCCCGATTCTCACGGCGGCGATGCGGCTCCGGCACCGGCAAAGCCCGGCTCCCCCAGGCCCGGGCGAGCAAACCCACTCACTAGAACACAGGTCTGGCTTCCCACGGGTTTTTGGGATTATTCCCGGAGGCCGTGGTGGCACTTGGAGCGGATCAGAGTCCAGTCACTGCAGTCCGTCACAGATCCAACCCTCCCGGTGCAGGGGCGTTGCGGTAATGGTAGAAGGCATCCCGCCCAGCATGGGCCGCGGGGTCCGCCGGGTCCCTCGCCCTCGGCGTGGGAAGTGCAGCTGCGC